CGTCGTTATGAAAACAGTACAAACATAAACCCTGTTCGGAAAATCGACTCCGTTCCGAACATTTTTTTGGACAATGCTTACAAACATTTTTTATAGGGAAAGTGCTGCATAGCGTTGCAAACAAAATTACGTAATATTATCGGTACATAATAATTTTAATAATATACATGCTGAGCTCATTTAGCTATTCTAAAATTAATACGATGCTAAACTTTTACTGGCAAAATAAATTATCCCATGATCATCACACTTTTAAATTAAACCAAACCAACAATGACGTCATAAGGATCCCGAAAGAGTATAAAATATGACGGTCGTGTCTTTCTGTCTGTCTTTCAAGCCAAAGAAACATCAACTAAACAAAGATTCTCAAAAAAGACGACCAGAATTCAATTAATAACTCAAGCGTTATGCCATTACTAGAATCCACGTCCTCCGAGCCTAAACAAGTCCAAAATCACAAAAATCAAATTGTACCCAAATTCCCCCCAATAGTCGATATGATCGAGCCTATCTCTAAAAATTCTCGCGAGAACGAGCTCCATTTGCAAATGACTATTGTATCTTCTATGACGTCACAGAGTTATGAGTCTGCTGACGAAATAATCGAGTACCGTCGAATAGCTAAAGAAGCTTTAGAGGTTCATAACGAGATGTACCTAGATCTGGGAGAAGAAAAAGAAACAGAAGAAAGAGAAGAAAACAGACCAAATCAATCTGTTATCCAAGAAACCTTTACGTCGAAAAAAACATGTAAGCTTTTGTGCTATAACTTATACATTCACTTATAGCGTTAACATTATGAATTTTACTGCATATAATAAATAGTATTAGAACTGACGGAATTTATTGACAAGAGTTTGAAAGAGCTTAATGTAAAGATGTTCAACTTCTCACATTTTGAAGAGCTCAAACATGTTGGAAGCGGAGGATACGCAAATGTATATTCTGCTAAGCTCAATGGACAACGATATGCACTAAAGAGTCTGAGGAATACACTGCGATTAGAACATAAAGAAGCTATATCATTCATTCATGAGGTAAATTAATTTTAATTAAATTTTTTTATGGAAGAAAGAATATTGACAATTAAATGATGTATTTCGTGGCTAAATCCTCCTTCGTAAGTTCACGTCAAGATCGCATCCTATCTCTATATATAAATAAGTTTTTGCATTTTTATATTTGATTGGCCACTTATCATGCACAATATAGGCTACTTAAACTCAGCGTATTTGTGTCAACTGGATCTAGATACTTTTTAAGCACATTATCACCTGAACAATCGTCATAACATAAAAGTGGTCTTTTTTATTCATTTATTTATTTATTTATATGTAGCTTAAAATTTTACACCAAATTAGTCATCCCAATATTATTAAGTTTCATGGTGTTTCCAAAGGTACGTATGAAAAGGCCTTATTTAAAACTAATAACGTTAAATAATAACATATAATTTTAGATCCAGAAACGAATAATTTTATGTTTATCCTCCAATTTGCTAATGGAGGAACTTTACGTGATTATTTACAATCAAAATGGAAAGAGGGTAAATTTGAGATTTCTTGGACTAGTCTTATTAAAATCGCAATTGAAATTACCTGCGGGTTAAGTTTCCTACACGAACAAAAAGTATGCCATAGAGATTTGGTGCGTATGTAAAAAATTACAAGTCATTTATTTTAATATACCAAGATATTCACATAAAATCTTAATTTTCTAGCATTCTAACAATATTCTAATAAATGATGGTAAAATTTTAATTTCGGATTTTGGATTATCAAAAAAAATGGACAGTACAACAACGACTTCGTATATAAAAGGCTTGCCTGCATATATTGAGCCAAGATATTTTCTCTATCCTGACGAAAAAATTAAACGTGATGAAAAGTCGGACATTTATAGTTTAGGTGTAGTGTTCTGGGAGCTCACGAGTGGAACACCTCCGTTTTCTGGTTCATCACCTCTTTCTATAATAATAAAAATTTTGCAAGGAAAAAGAGAGAAAATTATACCTGGGACTCCCATAGATTACGCTAACCTCTACATGAAGTGTTGGGA